GCCCTGACCCTCACCACCCTCCGCTCTGTTCTGTCTGGTGGCCTCTGTTTCCCTCCTCGCTCACAACTCCACTAGCAGAACCTCCCTCCCATGTGGCCACCCGGGGAAATCAGCCCTCTCATCTGGTCTGCCGGCTATACTCCCTCCAGTGTCTCTGCAGTTGTATCTTCCTGGACAGCTGGGTGTCCCTGACCACCTGTGGCTTGAGCTCAGCTCTCTCTGCTTTGCAGGCATCAGGATTCACTGCCCTCCACTGTTCATTTTCAACTGAAGAGCCTAGAGGGCCTGACACAGGTGATCCTGCGCCCCTAGTGGGGGCACTGGGGCGACACGGGGGTCTTGGGGGTGGGAGGTCCTGAAAAGCAGATACCTATACCTTATGCTGGATGATGGACCAGAGAGTAAATGTTCCTCACTGCTGGGGGATGCTGGGTAATCCGCGCCCCCCCTCCCCGAAGGGGCTGTTGGCCAAATAAGTTTGGGGACCTATGGCTAACTCAAAGTCTGAATGACATTTAATCCACAGCAAACATTTCCGTTCATGGATGCCTAAAAGCCAGAGCTGGAATCTACAGGACATGGGTGCCGTCCACACATGCACGCCCAGTGCCCCATTGAAGAAAATGCTTCAATGACATTTCACTCCCGAGAGGAAAGGTTTGCTCTGTACAGCCCAAATGTAGGCACCCCAACATGCAGTGGGTGCCCAGCAAGAAGACCCTAGGCCATTGGAATCTTTGCAACCACATGACCTGGGCAGAGGGCTGGCTGAAGGCTCCATGGAAGCCCCTCTGGCCACCACTTCTCCCTTCCACGTGTCCCCTCCAGTGGCAGGGGTGCTCTGTTTCTCGCTCCCTCTCAGTTGCCTCAGGAATTAGGGGGGTGGGGGGTATACACACACACAGGCAGTGAGGTTGTCCAAACAGGGCAGAATCCTGCATCACTGTCCTTGCCCACGGCCACTCGGACAGGCCCTGCCTGCTGTCCTGCAGGGGAGGAGTCCACCCGGATACCCCCTTGGTCCATTTCCCTGAGAGGCCACTCTGCCCCTTTGTACCAAACGGGCCTTGTCTAACATGGTATCCCTGGCACAAACGTGGCATCCCTGACACAAACAGCCTTCACCTAGAGAAAGCAGAGCCAGAATCCTCTGGCGTGGGGCAGCTTTTGAAAACGGGGCAACCTGCGGGGTACTCACTTGTCGTGGACACGGTGACCACCGGGCTGTACTGGTATTCTCCAGAGGGGCTGGTGACCTTCAGTCGGAACCGGTACAGTGTCCTTGGCTCCAGACCTTCCACCACGTGCTTTGTGGAGTATCCCCTAGAGGGCGGAAGACACACAGAGCTGACGGCACCAGCCTTCTGCTGCTAGGAGAGCCTCTGAGGAACGTTCTGGAAGACTGTCTGTTGCCAGGACAGCTCTGGCCCTCCTGCTGAGCTGTCCATCAACACTGGACTTCAGCCCCGGGGAGCAAGGGGCCACATCACCCTGGCACCTCCATCCTGACCCAGAGTGGGTCCTCTCCAACCCCAGGGCCTCACCCAGCTCCTGCCAGGTAGGAGGCACACAGCTGAGCACTTTGGACAAATAACCACGCTGGCCCCGTGGCCCCTGCCCTTTAGAGAGCAAGCTCCATGTGGGAAAGGTGGCACGGTTCAAGTGGGTGGTGATGTGGCTTTCAAGTGGGGTCTTGGCATCCGCGGGTATGATAGTTAGGTTTCTGTGCTGACGTGGCCAGAGTTTAGTCTGTCAATCAGGTCGCAGCTTGAGTGGAAGGCGGCCGAGATAAATGGCTTCCCGAGGGCGGCCTCCCTCCGTCGTTCTCCCTGGGCCACTCTCTCTCTCTGCTTCACCTCACTCTTGACAAGCCAGGCCCTGGAGATGCGTCCACCGCCACTGGATCCACAGGACTTTGCACCCACCGGCCTGTGATCTTCCTCATTCGGCATCATTGCATGTTGCTGCTGGGTCTGAAGAGGGACTTCTGGATTGGTTTCTCTAGTCATCCGGGTCTAACACGGCAGGGGAGGAGCCCTCTCTGAGGACCACCCGAGTAAGAGGAGGGAAGCAGCAAGCCCAGGAATTCCACTAGAGGGTCCCAGGCATATCCTCTCATCCCGTGCCCCATGGTCATCACTGAGGAGCCTGTGGGAAGCGGATGCCACACATGTTGGGACAGGGCACCTCCCCTCACTCTCTCCTCCCCTCCCATGCCCTCCCTTCTCTCCTCTCCTCTCCTCCCCTTCCCTCCCCTCTCCCTTCCTCTACCCTCCTGCCACCAAACCCGACACTCTTCAGGTAGACCACTGTTCCTCTTCTCCCCCCCCCCTCTTTATCCATCTTGGATTTTCCTTCCAGCCTTGCCAGACCCTCCACAGAGATGAGAACCACGCTTCGAGATTCACAACTAATATTTCAGTTATGTTTACATGCAACCTAAACAATTCCACGCTGGCCCTAGCCCTGCAGCCCGGCCCACAGAAACTTGTGTGCATAGCTTGCAAGGTGCAGGCTCGGAAGGCAGCCCTGAGCCAGCTCAGAGTCCACCCATGAACCTGTCAGCAGTGGGCAGACCTGCCTCCTGCCGGCGGGGTGGCAAAATGAGGGAGCAGGCAGGGAGAGTGGGCTGAAAGGACCGCATGGAAGTTAGCGTCGTTCCTGCTACACACTCAGCTGGGACCTGGTCAGAGCCCCCCGACACCATCATCTTTCCCCAGCGCAGGGAGCGCCGAACAAGAAAATGGCTGGGGAGAAGCCAGGCTTGATTGAGGCAGAGCTTCGAGGACCAAGCCCATGCCATGCCGTCAAGTGAATCTCAGCGCTCACGGGGAGCCTGGCGGACTGGGTGGATCTGCTTCTGCAGGGCTTTTCCCTAAAGCTGTCATCTTTCCAGGAGCAGTCTCCTGTGTGTCCCACGGAGGGGCTGGCTGGTGGGTTTGAACTGCCTACCTTTTGTTTCACAGCGCACCAAGGCTACCAAGGCCCCTGGATCTAGAGGCAAGAGTGTCCCCAAGAGTGAGCCCAGGAAGTCTTCTAAGTCCCTTCTCCTAAACTCCACCACCAGAGAGGTAGCCTCGCCTCCCTCCACGGGTGGAAACTGGCTGCATGGCACCGGACAACAAACTATCCATTGCTTGCCACAAACTTGTGCGTGGAAGTCACCTTCTCAGTAAGACAGTCCTCCCTGCACCCCAGGCCCCAACTTTCCCTAGGACTCGCTCCTTAACGTGTGTCACCACTTCACACGCTGTAAGAGCGAGCCCCTGTGGCACTGTGAGTTAAGCAATGGGCTGCCACTGCAGTGGTGGAGGTTCAATTCCACCAGTCACTTCTTAGAAGAAAGAGGAGATTATCTCACGCCCATAAAAACGAAAAACCGTGTGGCGTTTTGGGACCTCTGCACAGGGCTGCTGTGAGCGGAAGCCACTCGACAGCAGTGGGTTTGGTGTGAGGTCATGGAAACCCCTCACTGAGGCAGATCAAGGACTGCGGCCTTTCAGGGTGAGCAACTTCACAATGTACGGAAAAGAGCAACCCCGCTGTCGAGGAAGACCGACCTTCGAGGAGAGCTCATGCTCCTGGGGTCAGAGCCCAGGAGAGCAGCAAGGGGGCATGAAGCCATGGATGCCACTGGGCAGATCTGTGACCACAAAAGCCCACCGCCATGGAGTCACTCCTGATGCCGTGGCAACCCTCGAGAGCACCGGTTCTCTGGTGCCGCGACCCTTTACTACTGTTCATCATGCATTGACCCCCCAACCATAAAATTATGTTCGCTGCTATTTCATCACTGTCATTTTGCTACTGTTATGCATTCGGCCACCCCTGTGAAAGGGTCATTTGACCCCCAGTGGGGTCGCAAGCCACAGGTTGAGAACCACTGGCCTACGGGGTTTCTGGGACCACAAAGCTTTATGGGGGCAGACGGCCTCATCTTGCTCATCCACTGCAGAAGATCGCTTGTCAAAGGGCCGTGAGGCACACATGTCGTTCTGAGGACTAAGGCGCGCACCTCGAATGCAGCAAGAGCTGGGTGACCAAGGAGGAAGACCGAGGACTGGATACGTCTGGACCACGATGTAGGCAGAGGACACTGAATGTCCGCGGAGTCCGGGTGAACACTCTGAAGATGACGAGACTTGGTCTCACGGATTTGGGGCATGTGGTCAGGAGGGTCCAGTCCTTGAGGAAGGGCATCCTGCTGGGTAGAGTCAGAGGAAAGGGGCAAGACCCTTGTGGAGATAGATGGACAGTGTCTACCACACTTGACACTGGAGATGGAGCCCGGCTTGGCATTGTTTCGTTCTGTTGTGCACAGGATTGCTATGGCACCTGACAACACAAACTGCCTGTTGTTACTTCCAGCCCCTCCCTCCTTTCTGGTCTGTCCTTATCCCCCACCCCCGCCTCATCAGGAGGTAGTTCGTTGACCAGTGCTGCACCTCCATCCAAGACCCAGCAGTGGGCCGAGCACACAGCAGATGCTCCATGCCACACTCTGAGCAGACGAATGCCACAGCATGCATGTCCCTTGCTGGGGCCCAAAGGATGGGCAGAAGGAAGGAGGGTCAAAATCGACACCCAAGGGACCACCACCAAGTCACTGGGACTCAGGGCGACCCTAGGTAGGGTCCCCAAGGCTGTACATCTTGGTGGAAGCAGACAGCCTCCTCTTTCTCCGGGGGCGCGGCTGGCGGGTCCGAGTCACTGACCCACGGTGGTTAGCAGCTAATGCTCAACTCCCAGTGCCAGCAAGGTTCCTTGACGTAAAAACAGGCAGGGGAAAATCTGTCCTCAACTGGGAAACAGGCAACCTGCACCCTGGACAAGGGCAAGACATGTCAAAGGTCAGAGAGCAGATGGGAGCTCCAGCCAGTCCACAGTGGGGGCAGGGCAGCCCTGGGAGGAGCAGGCAAACAAAGGGGGGAGAGGCCCCTTTGTCCATCTGTCGTGTGCTGGTGCTGTGGGGCTGGAGTTCAGTCTGAGCAGGTCAAGAAATAGGGTGTCCTCAGGGGAGGGGTGGCAGAAAGAGGGGCTTGCTGGGGCCACCCTCACAAAACCAGGTGGGCCTTTGGCTGGGAGAAGCTGCCCTGAGGATCAGACTGAACAGAGATGAGTCTCCCTCAAGCAGGACTGACCAGCCGGCAGCAGACATGACCGGGATCCATTAACTCAGAGGAAGTTCCCCAGTCCCCAAGGCCAAGGCCACACTGCCCAGCTCAGGGCAGTTCCAGGAAAAGCAGTCCCAGTTTTAAGGCTTGCCTGCAGAGAGGGGTCTCAGAACAAAGGCGTGGTCTAGAGAAACACGGTGTCATCCTGCCACCTAGCGGCCTCTCTCTGCAGGGCCCTTCGTGGGCGCCGGGACGTGCTGGCCTGGGGCCGCTCTGCCAGGCCGGTCATCTTGGGAGTCTTCTCCTGGACTGCAGAAATGCCCACAAGCGCACTCGACATGGGGGCCAGAGACCACGGGCTTGTTCTCTCTCGGCAGGGCTGGACACCCGGCCCAGGTCAGGACAGAAGTATGTAGCACACCCCCACCCCGCAAGGACTCCCAAGCACACCCTGTATGGAAGGGAAACGGGGGACGGGAAGTGGTGCGGCTTTTCTGTCTTGTTAGAAATAGTGAGCGCAGCTTATTCTTTCAGACGGTAACTACTCAGCATGATGAAGCAAGCCCTTTCCAAATGCTCGGGCTCAGAGCTCTCTGACCATTGAGGCACAGTCGGTCTGTGCCGAGATCTCAGGAGAATCACTCGGCAGTCGGCGTCTTCCGGTGCACCTGCCACCTCGAGCAAAGGCTACCCTGCTGTGAAGACAGAGTCCTGCGTCCTGACTGCCTCAGTGTCCAGAAGCCCAGGCATGGGATGCCACGGTCCTTCCCAACGTGGCCACCAGGGGGAGCTGGGTACTCCCGGCATGGGCTCTCGGGAGACAATCTCCTACAACTGCTCAGGGACACACTAGGATCTCGGGTCAGAAAGCGAGGGACCACGTTCAGCTCACACACCACCAGCCCCGGAATCCCCGCGTCACAGGAACAGGGCTGCTGGGAAAGAGTCGGTCAGAGTTCCAACCAGAGAAGGTAGCCTCTAGGGCAGCAGTTCTCAACCTGTGGTTTGAAACCCCTTTGGGGGTCGAATGACCCTTTCACAGGGGTCGCCCGATTCATCCCAGTAGCAAAATGACAGTGATGAAGTAGCCACTAAAATAATGTTATGGTTGGGGAGGTCACCACACCATGAGGAGCTGTATGAAAGGGTCACGGCATTAGGAAGGTTGAGAACCACTGCTCTAAGGGGTTTCTGCAGGGTTCAATAATTTATCCACCCAGCCAAGCCAAGATTCTGCAGGACTCCCCTGAGCCAAGACACCGCTCAGGCCAGCAGGACTTCTGTCTCTCACCCACTTTATGTCCCAGTAAGCCAGTTGTCATCGGTGACCCCGCGTGCTTGAGAGGAGAACTGTGCTCTATGGGGTTTTCAGTGGCTGGTTTTTAGAAGCTGATCACCAGGCCTTTCTTCCGAGGTACCTCTGGGCAGACTCAAGTCACCAGGCTTTCAGTAAGCAGCCAAGCATGTTCATCACTGGCACCGTGACTCCTGTCATATATGCTGGCCGCCACCACAGCTGCTGCTGTGCTGCTATTTCTGTTCTGGGACACCTACGCAGCTCCAACTCGGAGCAAGCCTACCTCCAACCGGACAGAACAAGGCCTGGACCTGCATCCTGTCATCCTTGCAAGGGTGAGGCATGTGCCCGCTGTTGCCACCGCGGTGTCGGTCCATCTCATTGAGGGGCTTCTGTTTTGTGGACCCTCTGCTTTACCGAGCATGATGTCCTTTCTCCAAGCACGGGGCCCCCTGACAACGTGTTCAAAATTCATGAGACCAACTCACACCATCTTCACTTCTAAGGAGCCTTCTGGCTTGTCCTGCTTCCGGGACAGATGTGTTTGTTCTTCTGACAGCCCGGGGAACTTTCAATATTCTCCATAAGGGAAACACATCCATTCTTCGTGGGTCTCCCGCAGACTTTGCCCAGGTTCCACAAGCATGTGAGGAGGCTGCAAAGTCCGTGGCTTGGGCCAGGCACACCTTGGACCTCAAAGTCACAAGCCTTGCTCACCAACACGTTAACGAGATCTTGCCCACTAAGTAGCTTGATGCATCATCGATCTTCTGATGGCTGCTTCCATGAGCATTGATCCTGAATCCAAGCAATCCACACGGAAGACTGCGGGCCTTGATCGTCATCAACGACTCCTTCAACTCTGCCTCGCTTCCAGCCAGAGCTAGGCTGTGTCATCTGCATGTTGCAGGTTGTTCATGGGCCTTCCTCCAACCCTGGTGCCCTGGTCGTCTTCACAGATTCCAGTTTGGGGATTGTTTGCTCAGCATACAGTGAAAGGATGCAGACCCTGACATGCACGGTTCCTGATTGAAAACCAAGCAGTGCTCCCTTGTTCTGGTCTAATGACTGCCTCTTGGTACATGTACCGTTTCCGCATGAGCACAATTAAGAGTTCTGCAATTCCCATTCTTCTCAATGTTATCCATCATTTTGTGATGGTCTACACAGTTGAATGGCTTTGCATAGTCAGTAGAGTACATGTAAACATCTTTCCAGTATTCTCTGCTCTCAGCCAAGACCTATCTGACATCAGCAATGATACGCCTTTGTCCACATCCTCTTCTGAATCCAGCCTGAACCTCTGGCAACTCCTGTGACCATTGTTGAATAACCTTCAGCAAAATTTAACTTGCATGTGATATTAATGATGCATGTGTTGGCCGCCTTTTCCTGGAATGGGCACAAACATGAATCTCTTCCACTCGGTTAGTCCAGGCACCCCCACCCCCTTTCCAAATTCCTTGACATAGATGAGTGAGTGCTTCCAGTGCTCTGTCAACTTTTTGACACATTTCAGTCCTTATTCCGTCCGTTCCTGGGTTTTCTCTTACACTGGTTCCTCTGGTGTGGCTATGAGCTAGGGCTTCTCCCTCCAGTAGGGTTGGTCCACGTATCTACCACCTGAAAGGGTTGAACCAGGACCAGTTCATTTCGGTGCAGTGACTCTGGATTCTTTCCAGGTTCTTCTGAGGCTTCTTGCATCGTTCAATAGTTTGCCTGTAGAATCCTTCAATATTGCAACTCAAGGTTTGCATTCTTGTTCTGCAGTTCTTTCACAGCTTGAGAAACGCCGAGTGTGACCCTCCGTTTTGGTGGCTACCTCTCACTGGCAGGGCGGTAGAAAGAGAACACGCAAACCGGTGGAATGTTCCCATGCTAAACTCAAAGCTGTGACACACATGGGACCAGGTCACCAGACAGAATGCCCGGGGTGGAAGGACGCCTGCTTTAGAGGATCCCTCTGGTGGGGGGCTCTCTGATGCAATGACATCTGAATGGCGCGAAAAACAAACAAAATATCCAAACGTCCTACGATCGAGTCGATTCCGACTCGTAGCATTTCCCAGGCTGTCAGTCTTCACAGGAGCAGCCAGCCTCATCTTTCTTCAGAAGAATAACCGTTAGGTGTGAGCCACGGACCTTGCTGTTGGCACCCCAACACCTAGCCCACAGTACCACCGGGGATCCTTAATGGTGCAATGGTGCGAGGGGACCAGCCGTGAGAAGACAGAGGGAAGCACATTCCAGAGAACCTGCTTGGCCTGGTCGAGGTGGAGATGGTGGCAGCCTGTGGGATTGGGGACCTTGCCAAGGGGACACTGGGGATGGTGGAAGGATATGAAGTCAAGGACCCTGCCCAGTGTAGACCAGGCAGGAGGATGCCAACCTGTATCTTTGAGCAAAAGAGCCTCGACACCTATCTAATCAAATCACCTTGAGATCCTGCCTCTCTCCACGCTGCATTTTAAAAACAAACCTCTCGGGTATTTCAGAAGACCAAGCCGCTTCCAGAGGGCTGGGGGGCTTAACCTCAAAGCTTATAGCCACGTTCTGAAATCCACCGTGCTTAGAGGGCATGGACGCAAAAGGCAGGGCAGCGTGGCCCCTGCTTGAACCTCAGCGCCAGCTGCAGCCTTCCCAAGACGCCAGCACCCGTTCTAGCTAATCAGGGCAGGCGAGCGAACAGAGGGAGGGAGGCGAACAGGGGGAGGGAGGGCCCGCGCCGCAGTGCACCTACGTATAAATGATGCCGTAAGTGTGCATTCGGGGGTCTTCTTCTTCGATGGAAAATCGGAACCACTGCTCCGGAGGGCCCTGCCGCCGTGCCTTCTCCGGGTCCCAGTATAGCTCGATGCTGTGGTGTGTCACTTTGCCCACGACGGGTGGGTGAGGCTTTGACGATGGCACGGTGGCTGGAAGAGAACAACACTGTCGCTCAGGACGAGGGGCCACCCGGGGACTTGACTGCGGGCCAGTGACCCACCTTGTGTCTCCGCACCTGCTGTAGACACCGCACATGCCACCCCTGGAGCGTAAAACACTAACAGGCTACAGGCTTCTGCTGAGGAAGGCTTCCATGAGCAGACAACACCCTGCAGGGACCCTTCCTTCCAAGGGCCTGGGCAACCTAGCAGGCTGGCTCGGCCGCTCTCTGAGCCGGGCGCTTGGGTGCTGCAGGTAGAAGCCCGCACACAGGCGGTGCACTGGTCCGAGGATCCATAACGCGATGACGGAAGGTTGACAGCAATTCTATCTAAGTGGCTCTTGTTCGAAGCTGAAGAGCCAACGACCGATGGCAGCTGGTGTACCAGGGGGAATGTGGACCACGAACATAGCAGCAATACGAGAGCTGACCTCTGTCCCTAGCAACCCCATAGCCTGACCTCCGAGGGCAGCAGCCTCCTGTCCAGACCAGCATCAATGTAGGGATGCTGTCACACACCTGTGGTAGGGTCACAGGGACCTGTCTTTCAAAGGAGCTGTGTGGTGGCCTCTATTCAAATTCAAACTGCAAGAGTGCCACCAGCAGGATGAGAATGAGATTGCCCCCATGTGGAAAAGAATGGAACCACAGGTAGAACTCACTGACCACGGGTGGAGCCCACTGACCACGGGTGGAGCCCACTGACCACGGGTAGGAACTGCTGCATGAAACCTTTTACCAAGATGGTAAAATAGTGCTTCTTGACATTAAAGATGTCATCCCTTTGTGTTAGATGCCCTATTCTAAGACATTCACTCCAGAGAGAGAAGAGCCCCACACGCCCACTACTGCTACTACCCTGTTTCCCCGAAAATAAGACAGTGTCTTATATTAATTTTTGCTCCCAAAGATGCGCTAGGTCTTATTTTCAGGGGATGTCTTATTTTTCCATGAAGAAGAATATGGTACACATTTATTACTGAACAAAAAAGGAAATTTATTACCTGTATACGGTACGGTAGTAGTTGTCATCACAAACCAGCATAACCAGACAAACTGTGAATCCTACAGTATCAAGAATTTCTTGTTACTACCATTATTTCCATATACAACAATCTATGGTACATTTACTCATTTATTCAATGACAGTCATGTCATCATCTTAACAACCCAAACCCTTATTTTCAGGGAGGTCTTATTTTCGGGGGGATGCCTTATATTTCAGTGAGAGGCAAAACTGTAAGTAGGTCTTACTTTCGGGGGATGTCTTACTTTCGGGGAAACAGGATATTTCATCAGTAAGGTCAATAGCCCATCAGTCATGTGACACCCCTACACAGGTATGCCACCTCTTGGCAGGGAAGTCCCTCTCCAGGGGAGGCTTCCCAGGAGGCCTCGTTGAGTGAAAAACCAAGGTTCAGGGCAGAACAGGTGACGCCCGGACGAGGAAAGACACTCACTCACTCACTGCCAGGGTCAATGCCGATGCACTGCGACCTTGTAGGGCAGGGAGACTTGCCCCTGCGGGTTTTCAAGACTGTAACTGCTTACGGGAGGGGAGAGCCTCGTCTTTCTCCTGAAGCGTGACCAGTGTGTTCAAATTGCTCACCTTTTGGTTCACAGCCCAAGTCCTAACCACTGTGTCCCCAAGGGCCCCTGGCAAGGAAGACCAGGCTCCACACAAAGCCCTGCATATGTTAGTGGGCATGGGACACGTTGGTACCCAGCAGCTGAGCCTGTAGTTGGTCCTGCTTCTGGCTCGTTTTGCCTCCTCTACTAGGACTTCAAGCTTCTCGGAGGCTGGGCCTCCTCTCGGTGTCTTTCGAATCTCAAAAGCATCGTGACACGACTGCTCTGGTCATTACGGAGGGAAAGGGCTTGCATTTCCCTAGAGCCAACGTTCCTGTGTCCCTAGAAGCT